GTTTTCCATAAAATGCTCTTGGCTCTGTTACATGCAATCTGAACTATGAAAATATTTGTATAAATGGGTTAATTAACCCTAACTGCAACTAAACTTTCATTCCGAAAGGTGGCAGCAAAACTCTACACCAGAGCTTCCAGCTTAAATCTCACAGAATAGAAAAAACAAAGCAGCAAAAGAGTTAAGCATTATTATTGCATTAATTATTGTCTTTAATACTTCCTAATGCTTACACAATATTGGATGAGTGATAGTGCTTTATTATGAACATGAGTATTTCAAAAGTTTATTAGCTTATTGGTAAAATACTCTTGTTTTAAAGGGATACTCCACATTTTTTTGGAAATAGGCTCATTTTACAATCCCCCCAGAGTTAAACAGTTGAGTTTTTACTGTTTTCGAATCCATTCAGCCGATTTTCTGATATTTACAACAATATCAGTAACCAGACAGTTTCTGGTCTCATTGACTTCCATATTAGGAAAAAAAATACACGTATATACTATGGAAGTCAATGAGACCAGAAACTCTCTGGTTATTTATATTCTTCTAAATATCAGAAAATCGGCTGAATGGATTCGATGTGGATGGATTCGAATGGACCCAAATGTTTAACCCTGAGGGAGTTAAATGAGCCTATTTCCAAAAAAAAAAAAAGAAAAAAAAAGTGGAGTATCCCTTTAAGAATCTGAATTTAGATAGATTTTCAACAAGAAAATAAAACAATCAATTTGCCAATAGGGTCACAAAAATGAACAGTTCAAGATATACTATCTATCTAAACACAAGTCAAGCAACTTTTCAGGGAAATTTATCTTGTTTTAAGGATATTTAGGTATTTTTACAGGAAAACATGACAAAATACTGATTAAGAAATATGTGTGTGTGTGTGTGTGTGTGCCTTGTTGCTTTAAAAAATAACAATTTTCATTGAAGTATATTTTATGAGTAATTGTTCTAAATGATATAGTCCCTGCAGGCCTGGCAGGTGAGCGGGTGTTTTGTGTATTGTGCACAGTTGGAACGCTGTATTGACCCATTGCAATTCAGGATGGGCACTGTATGTTTTTGTACTGTCTCTGCAGTAGATAACAGGCAAACCGATATCAGTCACTTTAGAACTTATTGACAAATCATGTGGCTGAAAAACATAATTTGGACATTTTAGAAGAGTGGACTATGGTGATAATGAGTAGTTGACTGCTAATCTCTATTGTGTGTTTGGATAAACATGTAGCTGTGAGGACAGTTGCATTGTACAGAGTTCTTTGGAATCCCTCTCATTTAATGATTGAATTATCATCAATGATAATGAAAATTAACCAATAGTAACATGCAAAGGCCTGTTTTCCTAGCACAACTCCACATAATTGCCTGGAAAGCAGTGACTGTTGTCCAAGTGGTTCAATCAAAGAATCAATGCACAACTCTAGTGCACACATTAGCATTCATAAGAGAGCATTATATGGCCTTTTTATTCAACCCCGGCCCAGTGTAAATGTACAGCAGGGAAGGATTGGGAATACTGGGACTGGGTAAACAGCATGGGACCTTTGCCAGCCCAACTTAACCCACAGTGAAACATTTTCCATCATATATTAAATCTGTACGTACAATCCTTATCCACCATTTGTATTCTACATATTCCAGTAAACGACTAAAATAAAAAATAAATAAAAATAAATATGCAGTATGAATAAATGACTTTTCATCATCATTACTCTAGTCTTCAGTGTCAAGTGATCCTTCAAAAATCATATATGCGGATATGCAGCTGCTAAATTATTATCAAATATTATTTCCACTCCATTATTAATAATGGTTCTTGTTTTCAATAATGAAAATAGTTTTTGCTGCTTATTATTTTTGTGATCTATAAACAAAAAAAATATGTGATTCACATTATCTCTCACACACATGCACACACACAGTATATGTATATATATATATATATATATATATATATATATATATATATATACACTCTAAAAAATGCTGGGTTGTTTTAACCCAATTTTGGGTAAAATATGGACAAACCCAGCCATTGGGTTACATTTTTAAATTACATTTTTTACCCAATGGCTGGGTTTGTCCATATTTTACCCAAAATTGGGTTAAAACAACCCAGCATTTTTTAGAGTGTACTGTATATATACTGTATATATACTGTATATACAGTATATACTGTATATAATATGCAATTCATTAATTGTGCTGATGTGCTGCATTTTAATATATAGAGCACATTTCTAGGATGAATAGGATAAAACAGAATGCAAAATGCAAGGTCAGCCTTTTTATTATCTGACAGTGCATCTGTTTTTGCAGTACAGTAAACAGTAGTGTTCTCTGACGACAGATTGCATTCACCAAGCCTATACAAGAAACTGTTTGTTTGCTATCTGTCTTATGACACATTTGAGTTTTTCTTTTTTGTTCTCAGATTGTGTAACAAAACCTAAACACTTGGACTCATATCCTGATATTCATATCCCAAGCCCCACGGTCAATTCTTCATCTGTTATTATCTGCATTTCACTGCTCCTGCCAGCAGAGGGCCAAATAATTAATTCATATGACCCTATGCTGGCAAAGTCCTTAAATGGTCCTAACGTGTCTCAAACACTTTACACTCTCAATAAAGCAATCATAATTCACCTATTCTCTTCTCAATTTCTCACACTCCTATTAAGTGGCTTTTGGTAAGTCTTACAACACAATAAATGGCATTCCTTTAATGAACAAGAGATGATCCAAACGTTGTTAAAGGAGCACAATGCATTGAATTGATGAGCTCTGCACTGCACACACATAACACAAGCGCACAATTAAAACATCATATAATACACAAGAATCATCAGACTGACCCCAACAACTAAATGTTTGGTCTCGACTGAATTCCAATGGAAAGTCCAGCAAGAAATGTGGTGAAATCATATATTAAAAATGTCAAACATTCTCTCAGAAATGGATCATTAGAAGGTGTTCTGAGAATTTACTGACAACTGAATGATTTTTTTAGAGGACACTGTGTTGCGTTCATGTCAGCATTTCTACTTTATCATGTTAAGCAATATGATAGGAATCCTATTTACTTCAGATCAACATCAACATCTCTCACTGAAATACAATCTAATAGACAAAATATATTGGATTACTGACCTTTAACCTCTAATGAATGATCCCAGAGCAATTGTTTGGTATGTTTGGAATAATGGTGCGTTCCAGGCCCCAGTAGGACCTTTTAACGGAGACATCCTCTTGAGTAAGATTTTTGCTGCGTCCCAATAATTCGCTTACTTATTATAATATATAGTAGTATAATACTACGCCCTAAAAGTATGTACTCTTTTTGTGAAGAAAAAGTACATACTTTTGAGTGTGTAGCAAAAGAGTAGGCCAGCTTTGAGACATACTATCACATCATCTTTAACGGACAGCTCTGTTGAGTGCTGCGTGCGTCCTGTTACCGTAAACTGCCCTGTCAATCATCTTGTCAGTTAAAATCCTCCATTCAATCCAATCTAACCTCCAATCTAATTTGATTTCCTACCGTTTCGGAGTACGTTCACCTGCCAGTCGTGGATCTTTCATGCAGAGACTCTCCCCGTGTTTGCAGTTTGAATATAATGGTGCATTTAAAAAGTAATGGCTAAATGTATCTTTACAAAAAGTTCACAATACTGCTACACATGCAATATAATGTGGACAACATTGAATAAATTAATTTCCATCAGGTTAGATCCTGATAATTAATCACTCAAAGCTCTTTATCTAAACCTCTCAACACAGCCGCGGGACTCCGTTTCTGTAGTTTTTTTTTTTTTTGTAACACTTTTCACTCATATTTGTAGTTCTAACCGAATCCTCGTCCACCGCACAATGGTTTGTGGGCAATATCAGCCGTTAGAGTGTGCATCAATCTACACTTTGGATTCTGACTGGATATAGTAGACCATCCGGGTATCTTTGAAACACTCATTTCAACATACTACGATTTGGGACGTACTAATTCTATTTTCGAATACTATTTAGGACGGATAGTATGCGAATTGGTCTGGGAAACACACAACAACCCTGGCTTCCGAATCCGCTGAGTGCGTCAACCATAGTGACACAGTAAAATCACTTTTGTTTGTCTGTCTCTCAATAAACGCAGTCGTCACACAGTACTATTCAACTTCTATTTCAGGACATGATACTTGGGCATTATCTGTGCAAAATACCACTTTTTTATGTATTTGTTTTCTGAAAGAGCAAGCATAAAAAAAAGGTTTGCCTGGACATGTCCATCTTAGTTTTCTGTTTACTGGAGCGCTGTCACCTCGGGTGTGAAGTCATTCCCAGCGCATTCGTCTTCCCTGGTAAATGGAATACAGCATAATACGGTCTTCAAATGAATTAGAGTCTAATTAGACATTTTATAGATACTGATACTTGAGCCAAATTCTCTCTTTAAAAGGAAAGGGTAAAACTGGTAAAAGTAAAACAAGACTGATAAAAACATCACTGGCCAATGAACACTGCGCACAAGCAGTATTTGTACCGCCAGCACTCAAAGTCCAGCCTAAATTCAATAGCCTTAGGGAAGTGAGACCAAACCAGTGATTGATTCAGTGATATAACTGGAGTCACGTTTGCTCTCTCTCTCTCATGGTCCCGCCCCTGGCAGCACTGAAGTGCACATGTTAAAGAGCATGCTTTTACTCCCTTCCTAGCTTCGCTCCTCCCCGATGGTGACGTTGAGGGGAAAGTAGGCGGGATCTTTTTGTGAACTGATCGCCCTGCTTTACCAATCAGAAAGATTCCTCCTCCCTCCCTTCCAGCCCTCTCTTCCATCCCTCCTCCTCTTCTCTCGCTGTCTGCACTGTATGCACGCACAGGGGCAGAGAAAAGTGCAGGGCAGGGGACACCGAGAAGAAAAAAACAAAACAAAAACCAAAAAAAAAAAAAAAAAAAAAAAAACCCAGAAGCAGCTTCTGTTTTTTTTGTTTTTTTTTTTTGTTTTTTTTAAACGCCTTCTTGCTGCATCATTACGAGCGAACAGTCGCCCCAGCTCATAAAAACCTGCGCACACACACACACTCTGGCACTCGCTGTCGAGAAGGATCAACTCACAGCAGCTTCTCCCGTGGCACCTGGTACAGACTTGCGTGAGAAGGAGGGAGGTCTGGTCTAAGATCACCTGGAGCAGGTGGAGGAGAACCTGTCACGGCTACCGTCTGACTCCCTTTGTAGGGAACCTGACCCGCCTGATGTCAAACGAGGAGTGCCGTTCACCCATCGGCCTGGACTGCTGCAGCTGCTGTCTGGATCTGGCCAATGGCTGCGAGCCTGAGCCGGGCCAAGCGAGCCTGGGCAGTCCTACATCAATCAACCACTTCAAGCAGCTCCGGGACCAGCTTCACTTTCAGAACCTAAACACAGATAAGCTCAACAACATCATGAGACAGGACTCACTGGAGTCGGTGGTCCGGGACCCCTGTTACCTACTCAACGAGGGCATCTGCAACAGCAACATCGACCAAACCATGCTGTCCATTTTGTTGTTCTTCCACAGGTATGTGACTAAACATCACATGCATCACACACCTGCCCTGGCACACACATCTACTTCAGGTCATAAAAACCGTAAAAGTCTTTGCCAGAGCTTTGATTGCTGGTTAATGACTAATGTCAGGATGTTTTAGTTTGATGACAACAACATACTGTGGTTTTCACTCATTTAATTCTGGCCTCCTCCAGGCTAACTGGTTATTTGTATAGTGTTAAGTGATTTTTTTTTGGTTACACTATCGGTTTGCTTAAACTAGATCAATCTCAAGCTCATTTTCATTGGGTTGGGTCTACTAATTTATCACTTATTAATTGTCCACCACCAGCCAACACCAATACAGGTTTCACAATCTCAATTCAAACACTGAACACTACTAGTTATTTACACTTCCTGATAAACTCATGATTAAAGACCATGCTCAACTGTGTTATTTAACAGGGTGGATCAAGTACTCAGCAGGGTCCCAGGAATGTGTAGATTGGTATGAAGAACATGCCTTTGCGCATGCAACTTAAGAAGGTCTTTAGTCAGTCCAATCTTAAATCTCCCCATTCATTGCAACTCAATAGGTTTATGCAATGATTTTGTGCAAATATTCTATACACACCCCCCACCCCCAACTAGTCAGATTTTCAAAACACCCATTCATTTACAAACTATGGGCAATTTACATACCGTTCTAGCATAGTCTTTCACCCCATAGCTAAAGTATGCAGCAAAACAAATTCCTCTCCAGGTAATATGCATGTTTGTCAAATTTAATGGTCAAAGGAGTTTCCAAAACAACCCTGGATGCAATGAAATCTCATAAATTTGATTTTAATGTAATGTCTGACAGCTTGTATACATGATTTTAAATTTTGGATCAAGCCGATGTGGTGTACTACAGCATATTAAAGTGTCAAAAACAGATTGCAAGCCATCCAGAGCAGGTATTTTGGCAAAAGTTTCTAATCAGGATCAAGCTCACAGCACATTTTTCCATGAAACCTTGCTATCCAAACTGAAAATAAACATTTGGGCGTTAGGATAGTTTGTTAAAATCTGATAGTGGTTAAAATGTTTAGTCTGCGGGAGAATTACAGATGAGGCCTATGGAAAAAAATGATCAGCTAAGGCCAGGTAATTACAAAAAGATTGAACTATATTTAATTGACATTTGCAGGCAGATGATAAGACTGCATTCCATATGCTATTGATAACGCACATCACTTTGGAAGTATTTAGTGTAAAGGTCCCACTTTATATTAAGTGGCTTTAAGTACTATGTACTTACATCGAAAAATAAGTACAATGTACTTATTTTGTTCAGGTTGTATTGTAAAACACTTTTGTTGCTATTGAGGTGTGATACGGGTAAGGTTAGGGTTAGGTGTGGTTGTATAGGTCGGTTTAAGGGTGGGTTAAGGTGTAAGGGAAGGGTCAACTGTGTAATTACAAATGTAATTACATTTATTAATTACAGCTGTAATTACATGCAGGTATTTTCAAAATATAAGTACAATGTAAAAACATGTATGTACACAATAAGTCCATTGTATCAGTTTATTAATTTCAATGCAAGTACATAGTACTTAAAGCCACTTAATATAAAGTGGGACCCATTTGTTGCAATAAATATTAACATAGCATGCAATTTAAAAAGAACTGTTCTTCCTTTAATGCGATAAAGTACTTGCTCAGCAGTCAGCATCTAATCTGTTTTACGACGGGACAATATATCTTATACCTTACTGGTACGCCTCTGAAACAAGATTCCTGTTAAGTGTTCCAGTTAATGTTTAATCTTCTTTATCGGGGTGTCCTCCGTTTTATACGTGGCAGTGAAAGGTTACAGTCTACATAATTAGTTTTACTTTATGAACCTGGTGTCGGGATGTAAACAGGAACAGTCTGCATGGGACCTCTGGCCCAATGACCCTTCACAGTCCCAGTTACTAAATACACAGAATTCAACAGCTGTTTTATTATGATCAAATAGCCATTGTTAGTAAGTACACCAACCCATTCTTGTATTCCATGGCAGGAAAGGCAATTCTCTTTGGTGTTGGACTGCTCTCTGCTATGGGATAGCATACTTTCCTTGTCATCCCAGCAATTTTCCAAAATTGGCACTCTAGTATCATATGGATACGATTATTCCTTTCTCTCCTCCTTATTTGGTATAATATTTCATATTTCACACTTCTTGCAGACTAAATACTGACGTATTTGTGTTATGGTGAAACGTTTTGATGTCTTGAGAAAGGAACATTGTGTTATTGATAGAACCATGATAAGAAAGGTGTGTCTGTTTAATAGTATGCAGGAAACAAAGTAACAGAGGTCTTGCCAACACTAAGTCCTGCATGTCCACTAAACTCACAGACATATTTCTAAAATGCCAGTCTTATTATGCTAAATGTAATCCACATCTCCAGGCATGCAGAGACATGGATCCAGACATGCCAAGCTGAACAGCTCATGATCTGCACTATAGCATCTGGGAACCAGTGTTTTTGGGAATTATCCATGGGGATTTAATTATAAGGTGTGTTTCCAGTGTCTGGTGAATGGATGCGATTGCATAACATATTAACAGTACATTTAGTATTTTTCGCCTTTAAAAAAGCAATATAATATAATATAATATAATATATTTAGAGAGCCTCTAAAGGGACCTTGGCAAACAAAAAAAAATAAAATAAAGTCTATCACGTATCATGTGCGCACGAGAAACTCATCTCATTATATCATTGCATCTAAAAAAATAATAATAATCCTGACAGCCCTAATTCAATATTTTAAAAACCAACACATTAATATTTAAATATCTTCGGTGAGCTCTACATAGTGCAATACATATTAATATTTGTATATTTATTCTTCAGAATCTGATATCCCTATGTTAGATCCACTCCAGGTCAATGTGAGTTTTATAATAAGATAATATACCGCTGACGACCGAAAACTGATTTATGATGCTCACAGTCACTGAAAAACTAAATATCTGTCCAGCAGGGAGAGAAGCACACACTGCACATGCAGGAGCCGGTCCAATACAACACAAACCTCAAAGAATATGTGGAAATTAGCTAGGGTTACATCCAAAAACATCAATTTATGCTCGTATTAATATGAGTCTGAGAAAAACATACAAATAAAGAAGAAAACAAAAGAGTTTTGTGTCACTATAACATCGGATGAAGAAAAGCCAGTGGAACATAAAAAATAAAAAAAATAAAATAAATATGTTTAAAGAGAATTGAGTATAAGGCCCTTCACCTGAACAAAACAGAAAAACAAAAACAGAAGTGTGACTCATAGACATGCATAACTCTTGGAAGCAGCGGTCTATTTAAATCACACCCCAAATCCATGTTCAAGAATATGCAAAAGCTTGCTAAATGCTGTCTACGTCTTCCAAAACATGTTGAAAAGACAACACTGTGCCACCCTACATGGTCGATGCCCATGTGTGAGATCACTTCTGAAACCTCAGCCTTGCTCTAAAATCTCTGACCAAACAGTTTGACTGACTAACAAAAGTCAGAATTGCTTGTTCTCAGGCCTCTATCCTAAGTGAACATTTTGGCTGCTTCTTTAAAATTCTACATTATAAGTAAACAATATTTACAATAAACATTTAAAACACTTTAGTTAAGGGTCCAATTCTCACTATAACTGTAAGTTGCTTATTAGCATGCATATTGCTAGGACATTTCCTGACTATTATTACTTATGAAACACATTTTAATGTCTTGTTCTGCAAGACCATATTTTACTTGCCCTTAATCTTACCCAATACCTAAACTTAATAACTACCCTTTAATAAGCACTAATTAGGAGTTTACTGAGGCAAAAGGGTTTATGTAAGGGATAATGTACATCCAGCCTCTTATCACAGAATAAACCCTGACAGAGTCATCTTGCATCAGTCTGAGGAGGTTTTTCCTGCAATAACAACCGGCCGGTTGTACATTATCCTGCTTATTACACAGCTACTTGCACATAAGTAAATTATTAGACATGAAATATTGATCTTTGAGTCTAAAAATTTTATTAAAAAGCTCATGAGAGCAATTGCTAGCAAGTGGCAAGTTCAATGTAGACAGACAATGTATTTAAGGGCTACGGTAAAGTCATACCACTTATGTAAGGGATAATCCATAGCCAGCTGTGCATTCAAATAATTTAATGCACAGCTGGCCATGGGTTATCCTGCTTAGTTATAACACAGCCATTTGCCAGATTTGACAACTTGACAGCTGTTATTGATCTTTGTAGCGTATTTGACTGGAAGTCACATTATTTTTGTCAGTTACGGCTCATTAGATCAAGCATTCTTGCCCATTTTAATCAGACACAGAGTATAGTGTTATATTACATTTATTTATGTTATAGCTTTAATTTGAATTCATTATCAAGAATAAGATTTCACGCTCCTGAATATTTATGTTTGCACAGTGTGATCTCTCAACCCGATCACACTAAATGCGTCTTTATAGCACGTATGTGTATTGTCGTGTAATTTATAAGCTAAAGTGAGTGGGGGTAAAAGTGTGGGGTGGGCTGCGTGTGTATTATATGTCAGCCCATTCTCACCCCCAAGGCGTCACTTAACTGACGCCTTGGGAAGCATTTGGACATGCTTCAATATCTGACGCTTTAGGCGCCCTTTAGCGTCAGTAGGATGACGTCCTAGGATCGCGTGTACCCCACCCCCACCCCACACCTAAACCTAACCGCGTCCTCTAACAGACGCTTTCCTTTAGCGTCAGTTAGATGACGCCGTAGGGTCGCGTCATGTAAGTGACGCTAAAGGGCGCCTAAAACGTCAAATATTGAAGCATGGTCAAAGGTGACGCCTTGGGGTGAGAATGCGTTGTATATGTTTGGGTAGAATTAGTGGTGTGGAGGGCGTGTGTATTACATGCAAATGAACTGCGTATGAAATGCACACGAAAAACTGCGTCTCTAATGCACGTAAAAACTCATTTTCGCGTATAAATTACCAATGCATT